GACTTTGAAGAAGTTCGATGCCATTTGGGTTATTGTGGATCGGCTGACCAAGTCCGCTCATTTCATTCCTGTGTGCACAACTTATTCATCGGAGCGGTTGGCGGAGATTTATATCCGGGAGATTGTCCGTCTGCATGGTATTCCAGTTTCTATTATTTCAGACAGAGGTACTCAGTTTACATCGCAGTTCTGGAGAGCTGTGTAGCAGGAGCTAGGTACTCGGGTGGAGTTGAGCACAACATTTCACCCCCAGACGGACGGACAGTCCGAGTGCACTATTCAGATAGAGGATATGCTCCGTGCGTGTGTGATTGAGTATGGAAGGTCTTGGGATCAGTTCTTGCCATTGGCGGAGTTTGCTTACAACAACAGTTATCAGTCCAGCATTCAGACGGCGCCGTATGAGGCTTTATATGGTAGGAGGTGTAGATCTCCGGTGGGTTGGTTTGAGCCGGGTGAGGCCAGGCTATTGGGCACAGAGTTGGTTCAAGACGCATTGGAGAAGGTTAAGATGATTCAGGATAGACTCCGTACAGCCCAGTCTAGATAGAAGAGCTACGCGGACAGGAAGGTTCGTGATGTTTCGTATATGGTTGGTGAGCGGGTTCTGCTTCGGGTTTCGCCTATGAAAGGCGTCATGAGGTTTGGGAAGAAAGGGAAGTTGAGTCCGAGGTTTATTGGCCCTTTTGAGATTTTGAGGCGAGTTGGGGAGGTTGTTTAGGAGCTTGCCTTACCTCCCAGTTTGGCCGGGGTTTATCTGGTATTTCATGTTTCGATGCTCCGGAGGTATCACGGTGACCCGTGGCACGTATTGGATTTCAGTTCAGTCCAGTTGGACAAGGATCTATCCTATGTTGAGGAGCCAGTGGCTGTATTGGACAGGCAGATCCGAAAGTTGAGGTCAAAGAACATTGCTTCAGTAAAGGTTCAGTGGCGGGGTCAGTCGGCCGAGGAGGCGACCTGGGAGACCGAGCAGGATATGCGCAACAGTTACCCTCATCTTTTCACTACTTCAGGTATGTATTTATGCTCGTTCGAGGACGAACGAATGTTTAAGTGGAGGAGGATGTGACGACCCGGCCGGTCGTCTTAAGAATTAACGCCCCGATCCCCTATTAACTGTTTTCCCCAAGTTTATTTCTGCTATTTTGATTTGCCGGGACGTTCGGTTTTGAGTTTCGAAGAGTTCTGGGACACTTAGTCCCTAAATGAGAGCTTAAGTGTTGGAAAGTTGCCCGTAGTCGGAATAGTGTGAACACGGCCTCGGAATGGAAATCCGATAGTTCCATTAGCTCTGTTAGGTGATTTCGGGGTTGGGAGCGTGTCCGGAATGTGTTTTGGAGGTCCGTAGCTGATTTAGGCTTGAAATGCCGAAGTTTGAATTTTTGAAGTTTCCGTTCTGATAGTGAGATTTTGATCCGAGGGTCGGAATGGAATTCCGAAAGTTGCAGTAGCTCCGTCATGTCATTTGGGATGTGTGTGCAAAATTTCAGGTCATTCGGACGTGTTTTAGTTAGGTTTTTGATGGAAAGCATTTTTTGTGAGAATTTGAAGTTCTTAGGCTTGAATCATTGATTAATTCGAGGTTCCCGGCGTTGTTTTAGGTGGTTTAAGGATTGTTACAAGTTTGAATAAGGTATTAGGTGTTATTAGTGCTTTTGGTTGAGGCCCCGGGGGCCTCGGGATGATTTCGGATGGTTGTCGGAAAGATATTTGAAGTTGAGAGATGGCAGATTTTTGCTGCTTTTGGTATTTTCGCATCTGCGGTTTGGGAACCGCAGATGTGGTACCGCAGATGCGGCTAAGGAAATCGCAGAAGCGGGTTTAGGGTGGTTCAGCAGCTTCCGCAGATGCGGTGGATTTTCCGCAGAAGCGGAACCGCATCTGCGAGATCAGGACCGCAGATGCGAAAATTGGAGTCCTTAATGAAAGCCGCAGAAGCGGCACATGTTCCGCAGAAGCGGGACCGCAGAGGTGGTCCCTTGACCGCAGAGGAGGAAATCACTGGACTGAAATATGAAATTCGAGGGTTTAGTTTGAAAAGTTAGAAAAATCAAATTGGAGCTCGGTTGAGGGCGATTTTGAGAGGGATTTGAAGAGGAGATCATTGGGTAACGTTTCTTTAATCCTTTCTAGCTATATTCCATCAATCTATAGTTAATTTTATCATTTAAATTCGGATTGGGGATCAAAAATTGGGAAAAATTGGAAGAAACTTCTTAGACCGAATTATTGAGTTTTGGGTGGGTGTATGACCTTCGATTTGGGAGATTTTTGTATGGTTAGACTCGTGAGAGTGCGAGGGTTCTGAAAATGTGAAAATTATCTGGTTCCGAGACGTTGGCCTGAGGGGCGTTTTGGTCATTTTACCTAAATTCGCGTCTTAGCTTTAAATTTAATAGTAGAATCAGTTGCTTAAGATGTTATTTACGATATGTAATTGAATTGAATATATTTGGGCCATTTGGAGTCGGATACTCGTGGCAAAGGTGTGGTTTCGAGTTGATTTTGGAGCCGGTTTGAGGTAAGTGGCTTGTCTAACCTTGTGTGGGGGACCTTTCCCCTTAGGATATGATATTTGGTAATTGAATGCCTTGTACGTGAGGTGACGAGCGCGTACTTGAGCTAATTGTTGAAAAATTCGGTTTTACTTTAAATATTTAGATTGAGTTTCTTTCTTATCCGCTTTATTTTATTTGCAATTATAGACTGTGTTAGCCAGAAAAACATGCTTAGTTGTTCTAAATTGTCTATTTGTTCAAGTTGCCTTGTTTGCACTACGTGAAGCATGTTAGGCTAGAACTATCTGTTGCCTTGTATTTTTGAGCTTCATTTTTGAATATTCTTCGTGTTGTGACCGCGTATTTACATTAGGACTACGGATGTGGGATTCCGGTAGCTCCCCCCTTGTTTGTTTACTTTGGGACTACGGGTTAGATTCCCGGTAGATCCCCCTGCACATTTACTTCGGAACTGCGGGTTAGATTCCCGATAGATTCCCCTGGACCTTGATAATTGGACTACGGGACGGTATCCCGGGAGATCCTTCAGCTATACTCATATGATGGACTACGGGACGGTATCCCCGGAGCTCCTTGGACAGTTGATGAAATGGACTACAGGATAGTATCCTGGGAGATCCTCGTTGTTGGTATTAGTATTGAGCTGTTTTACTCTGTGTTGTCTTATTCTCTGAGTGTTAATTGTTGCCTTGTATAACCGTTCTTACTTCATAGCTGTACTCATTACTTCCGTTTATTTCATGCTGTTGCAAGATTTATTATTATGCTTATTCTCAGTAGGGCCCTGACCTTTCTCGCCACTACCCAACCGAGGTTAGGCTTGGCACTTACTAAGTACCGCTGTGGTGTACTTATGCCCCTTCTGTGCATGTTTTTTATGTGCAGATCCAGGTACTTCATCCCAGGCGTATCACTCTCGAGGCGGAGAGACCTAGCAGAGACTTCGAGGTACATCTGCCTCGTCCGCGGACCAGGAGTCTCTATGTTATTCTAGCTTTAGCAGTTAGCTTTTCCTTTCGTACTGTTGTTTTAGACATTCTGGTGTTAGAGCAGTGTATTACCTTCCGTTAGCTTGTGTTCCCGTGAGTTTCCGGATTTTGGGGTGATATTGTAGACTTCCGCATTATTGGGTTGTATATGCCGAACGGCATTTCTATGCAGTTACCCTTCTAGTTTGTTTAGTTTAATTAATTGTTTTCGCAAGTTATGTTATTTCCGCATTGTTAGGCTTACCTAGTCGTAGGGATTAGGTGCCATCACGACATGTTCTCGGAGGGCGAACTGGGGTCGTGACAATGGAAGTGTTTTGGGCTGAGTTCCCTGAGTTTGCACTGAGATGCCCGAGTGGCTTGTGAGACTGATGAGCGAGCGGGGCCGAGGGCCGGATTGTAAGGATAGTTATGGATCGGGCTGCACGCCGCAGCATTATATATATATATATATATATATATATACATATATATATATATATGTAGATCGGGCTGCACGCCGCAGCGATATAGCGCTTGGGCTGTAGGAGCCCCTCCGGAGTCTGCACACCCCCAGTGAGCGCCGTTGACTATATATTTATGGATCGGGCTGCACGCCGCAGCGGTTATTATAAGAGATCTATTGAGCATGAGTGCGGAGTATGAGTGTTGATTGATGAGAGTTGAGTCACGAGTGACTGAGAGGCTTGCCCGAGGGGCAATATATATGAGGGATACTTTGCCCGAAGGGCTTGTTTTATGAAAATACTGTTTTCACTCTTCTTTATACTGACCCTCTATTGAAAATGTTGAGTAAATGTTTTAACGACTTTCTTTGAAGCTGGAGTTTTTACTGGATGCTCAGAATTAAATTACTGATTTGATCTTGTTATTCCCACTGAGGTTTTTATGTTATGATATGTATATGATTTTAAATGCTCGTCATTGCACTCAGCCTTTATTTATAATTGTTACTTACTCAGTTGGCGTACTCACGTTACTCGATGCACCTTGTGTGCATATCCAGGTGCCAGAGCATCCGAGTGAGAGTTGTTTCTCTCGTTCAGAGCATTTCCGGAGTTAGCAAGGTAGCTGCATGGAATCCGCCGCCCTGCCTTTCTTCTTCCTATCTTTTACTATTTATTTTTATCAGACTCATCTTGTATTGAGTAGTCAGTTTCAGATTGTATTTTAGTGGCTCATGACTAGTGACACTGGGATCAGGCAGTGTTTGATGTCTTGCATATTTGTTTCCGCTTGTTTTGAAATGTTTAAACAAAAGATTTGTGATAATATCTCATTAGTAAATGAATTAAGAAAAAGACCCTTTTATGTTTTAAATGTTGAATCGGCTGGCCTAGTATTGCGATAGGCGTCATTACGATCGGGATGGTTTGGGATCGTGACAAAGTTTCAGCATATAAGGAGAAATATTACCATCAGCAGCCTTAGAGTACTAACTTAACCACCACTGACTAATAAATATGTCAGTCGTAGGATAAAATAATACCTCATGACCTTCATGGTGAGATAAGCTACAAACCGTCCTTACCCCAGCATTGATGCACTCCTTCCCTTCCACATCACCAATACCATATTAGTCTCCTGCCAAAATAATTTATGCGAAGGAATCATCTGTTAGATGCAATAGTAAATTAGAAATTTAAATTGAATACAGTTAACTTGATTAACTCTTAGAGTAACTATTTTGTAATAGACTACAATTCATATGCTATTGATAGGTAAATATTTATAGCAACACAAGGGGTTCAACCTATACACACATTCAGCCCCGCCAAAAGGTAAAAAAAAACCTTGTAACACCTCAGCAAAATCCTACTTAAACTTGAAATCCAATAAGAGAAAGTTTCTAATCGAAGAAGTGTGCAAATGTAGCAGTTCATTCAATAGCTAGCAGGACATTTACCACATTACAGGCGGTCTTCCAGAGTTGAAATCTGAAGATGATGACTGGTGCTACGCTACTCAAACAGTCATACGATACAAACTCCAAAAATGTTAATCTAGCTAGAAACATCCTCGCTACAAGATCCTTCCATCTTACCACAAAGTTTCCATCCGCGCCCGCTCTAGCACGGTGCATCTTGTCCAGTATTTTGTAGTATCCAATTAAAGTGATAGTGATGCCCCAACTGTCATCTTTTTGCATGTTACTTCACCATTTTTAGCCCCACTTCTGCATTTAGAATCTGCCAGAAAATAATAGCTATGACTAAATAATGATCATGTATAGGAAGCCAAAAACCTTAATAGTTGTGACCAAACAATGATCAAGTATAGGAAGATAGAGATTTAGTGATAAAATAATAAGACGACACAGATCATCAAATAGTGATGAGAGCGATATTACTCACACATTATCATGGAGGAATGATCCCTAATCTGCTCATTGATTTTATATTAGATGAGGGGCGGTACGATAATTGTTCGTTCTCCAGTTTATGAGCCGATAAAGGTCTGTCAGGAAAAATATTAGACTCAAAACCCCAATTTCATATCAGTTGTCTATTCAAGTAAGATAAAGATAAATAGTTTCTCTTATTTAAGAGAAGTCAAGGAAGAACGATACGCAAGTTAAGAGTCAAGCAGAAACATAACATTATTTGGCTAGCCTCATATAGAAAAGTCTATGTCAACTTCACGTCCCCCATGGAAAGAAAAAGAAGCCTGAAGTAGGAAATTTATGAAACAAAATTCAGTAAATAAGAAAGAGTCCTTCTCAACCGAAAATAAATTAAATTGCAATAAGGAAAATCCTTTTTCAGCATTTAGATTGTAATAGTGTCACCAGTGACATAGAGACAAGGAAAGGTTTATTAGAACATACAAAGTTTAGCTGGATAAATCAAAAGCTAACAGAGACATAATAACATTAGTGTATATATCTCGAATCATAAACTTCAAAGTCACATTACATGTGGTTTACTGTGTATATACAAAATCTTGTTACTTCGATCTACCTATAACATAGTGTGTAGCGATAAGATCATTATCTACAGAGGTGGACAAGCTTAAGCCATTCTACAGCAAGCTACAGAAGGAGAAAGGTGAGAAAATATATCTTAATAGGTCAATATAAGTTCTAAGCTTAACAACTTCGCCTTTTCAACTTCAGTTTTAGAATCAGGAAGTAAGGTAATCACTTCAGTCACTATAATTCTGTAACATCTAAAATAAAACAACAGCCTATTGGGTTCATAAATCTTCACCATAATATTGTTCGGAAGCTTTCTCCTATCAGGGGATAGATGTCCTATCTCAGGTATTAAATTGCAAGTAATTCAATAAGCCTTCCTCAAATCTATTGAAAGGAGCACTACTCAAAGTCTGCTCTACATCAATATTATCATTAAACAGTACGAAGTTTAGGTCTTTTAAAAAATATAAGGAACCTAAGAGTTTCAAAATGCATTAGATGACTCTAACTTCTATCAACATACTTTGTCGTGCAAACTATTGATTTAGCCTACAAAATATGATACTCACATCTAATTCTAGTGCTAGTAAATTCAGAGATCGTTTTTTGACAGTAAAAGGGGAAAGACGCTATTGCTCGCAACTGGGTCTTGAGTGTCGGTCTAACAAAAAAGTAAACTCTAGTTGCTTCTCTTGTCCGATCGAAAACTAGGTTTAGTATCAAGGTGATTCTTTTTCTGTTCCTATACATATGGGTCTGTGCAACATTTCTACGATATCGCCTTTGGCTTTGTACTCAAACTGAATCTTTGGCTGCTTTGCATAGCATTCTCATTATAATGTTGAATCTGATTCATTAGAAGGAAATACAAAAATTGCTGAATACGCAGCAAATCAAACCAACAACCAGCAAGAAAATGGTATTAGAAACTGAAGCCAAGTACAAAATTAATGATAGGATCACAATTGAAGAAAACTAAAAACAAGAAAAAACAAAAAATAAATACAAAAGAAATCATACTTGCTGAATTATGTATCAACAAGATAACACATGCAACACTAAAGAACAGCTTTTGAACTGGATTGGAACACATGAGGCACAAATATATCCCAATTAAGTACTGAATAATTCACTTAGGCTCCCCTTGCTAATACAATGAGAAGTTGATGAGAACCTGTTATGCATGTTTGTAAAACGGAGGGAAACACAATGGAATAATAGAACTATTTTCTTCGTATTCTTCCATTTCTCTACTACTTAGCATCAAGAAAATTGAAACAGTCACAAGAAAATTCCTAAAAAATACCAAAAAGCAGATAATAAGTACATACAGGAGTAATAAGACAAAAATAAAAGGACTAAGAACACAAAAGATTTAGAACAAAAAATGAGCAAAAAGGAAAGTACGAAGAAGAAGAACTCACAGGAAGAGAGAGAGAGAACGCAGAAAAGAGAAAGCATACGGATCCAGAAATAGAGAGTGAGACAGAAATTGGAGAAAGGAAAATAACAAAAAAGAAACCAATGAAATCAAATTAAGTGGTCTGCCAAAATGCACACGTGCACATGATTTGAAAGCTAAATGAGTCAGTTCATCAGAATTACCAAGTCACCCCTAAGAAAATAGGGTCATCCAAGGGACTTTCACTTATTATATGGTTAATATGATTCAATTGATATATATATATATATATATATATATAGAAATGGTTAGGGGAAGATACAATGAATTGACAATGATTAAATAATTAGTGAAGTTAGGCTAAAAGTTTGGATTTGAAGAACGCTTAAGCTGACATGGAAAAATTCTTGTATGCTACAAGTCGTTTCTGCTTCTTTAATTAGGAGAGAATGCCTGATAATCGGAGTAGTGATTATAATGATTAGCCATAGAGTAATCATATGGTAATGGTTATGTATATTAAGGAGTTGAATTAAATATAAATTTATGTGTACAATGTTAGAAAAAGAATACACGGTACCGATTTTAATTTTTGCTATTACACAGTTTCACAGTTTTATTGTCTTCAATTTAGAATAATGATTACCTAATGATTATATAATGGTTGATAGTAATAATGAGCTACTGATTAGTGGATTAAAATCTTTCCATGAAAACTATTGTTGATGCAATATATATTAACTGAGAAGATACTGGAAAGAAACTTGATATTTTACTCTTTATTTGAAAGACAAAGTGATTATCTAATGAGTGGGTAACAATAAGAAAGGCATATGATTGTGTAATGGTGATGACATGTGAAATCTATATAAATATATAAAAGAGGGACAAGAGGTGCTGACATGGCACCTCTCTAAATTACAATTTATCTCTTCTGTAACGACCCGGCCGGTCGTTTCATGAGTTATAGTCCCGTTTTCTCTATTTCTGCTTCTTTATGTGTTCTTTAGCTGTATTTCATCGTAATGTTTTGGTTGGTTCAGGTTCGGAGTAGTTTTGGAGTGAATTGAGACACTTAGTCTCTTTTGAGTAGGCTTAAGTTTGAAAAGTCAACCGGATGTTGAATTATGTGTAGATGATCTCGGATGTGAATTCTGATGGTTCGGTTAGCTCCATTAGGTGATTTTGGACTTGGGAGCGTGTCCGGATTGTGATTTGGAGGCCCGCAGTAGATTTAGGCTTGAATTGGCGAAATTAAAAATTTGGCGTTTCTCGGTCGGCAGTGGAAATTTTGATATCCGGATCGGAATGAAATTCTGAAAATTGAAGTAGGTCTGTAGTGTCATTTGTGACATATGTGCAACTTTCAGGTCATTCGGAGGTGATTTGGTAGGTTTCGACATCGTTTGCGGAATTCGGAAGTTTAGAGGTTCTTAGGCTTGAATCCGAGGGTGATTTGGTGTTCGAACGTTGTTTTGAGTGTTCCTGATGTTTGAATAAGTTTGAATGGTGATATGTGACTTGTTGGTGTTTTTGGTTGAGGCCCCGAAGGCCTCGGGATGAATTTGGATGGTTGACGGAAGAGTACGAATTGAGTTGGTGCAGCTGAGATTTTGCTGCTTCTGTTATTTCCGCACCTGCAGATTGGAGACCGCAGGTGAGAGGTCGCAGATGCGAAAGGGAGATCGCAGATGCGGAGTTGGGCCATCAGGAGAAGAACTGCAGATGCGGTGAGTTGGACGCATCTGCGGGATCGCAAGTGCGGTGCTTAGGGCGCAAATGCGGTCCTGGGCGTTTAACTGGAGACCGCAGGTGCGGTTAATTGGACCGCAGAAGCGGTTGTGCATGCGCGAGTTAAGGACCGCAGATGCGGAAATTGCTAGGCAGAATGTATAAAAGGTTTCCTTCGCGAATTTTTGCCTATTTCCTCCATTTTTGAAGAGGAGATTGGAGCTTTTGGGGAGTTTTGAAGAGGGAATCAAGGGGTTCTTCATTGTGGTAAGTCTCTTGAGACTAACACTCGTGATTATGGTGATTTTTAGTTGTTTAAGCATGAAATTTGTAGAAATTAGGGATGAAATTGAAGGGATTTGGGCTTGGAATTGGAGAGTTTAAATTGAGGATTTGAGGGACCATTTGAGGTCGGATTTTGATGATTTTGGTATGTATAGACTCGAGAGTGAAAGGAGTTTCTAGTTTTGTGATTTTTGTCGGATCCCAAAGACGTAGGCCCGGGGGCCGGGTTTGGGTGAATTTCGGGATTTTGGTATAAATTTGATAATTTTTCGTATGGAATTGGTTCATTGGCCTATATGGATTGCATTTTATTGCTTTTGGTCAGACTCGGGACGTTCGGATGCCGATTCTAGAGGCAAAGGCGTCGCGGTGTAGGGATTTGACCGGTTCGAGGTAAGTAATGATTGTAAATCTTGTCCTGAGGGTATGAAGCCCCGGATTACACATCATTTCACTATTTTGAGGTGGCGCACATGTTAGATGACGAGCGTGTGGGCGTGCATCATTGGGGATTGTGATTTGGTCCGTCCCGTGGCAACTATTAAGTTGCGTATTTGACTGAAAACTATTTGATACTTATGTGCTTTAGAAAGAATTTTTATAATTTGGGCTGAATGCCATATTTGGGCCTCGTGCCAAGTTGTTTGGACCCTTAGGGGCATTTTACTATTATTTCCTCACTGTTTTGACTTAAGATCTGTACTCAGTCATACTATATTTACCGATTTCATACCTCGGTCTTTATTACTCCGTTTGATGCATAAAATGATAATTTGGGCTGAGCATCCTGTTTTACTGATAGCCCGAGTGGCTTGCGAGGTTTCTGACTGAGTGATGCCGAGGACCTGTCTTATGATGATATTATGGGATCGGGCTACACGCCGCAGCGTGTTATTACTGATTTGTGATTATGAGAGGCCAATGGCCTGATTTATTATGCCACGAGGTGGCTTGTTATAGCGCTTGGGCTGTAGTAGCCCCTCCGGAGTCTGCACACCCCCAGTGAGCACGAGTACCTTGTGTGAGTGATATGATGTTATGATCGAGGGGCTGTTATTGATTCATGTTGTGCCCGAGGGGCTGTTATTGATTCATGTTGTGCCTGAGGGGCTGTTACGAGTGACTGTGAGGTTTGCCCGAAGGGCTGGTTCTGAGTGTTGTTATGCCCGAGGGGTAGTTTATGATTCATGTTGCCCGAGGGGCTATTACGATTCTATCATTTTTACTCTAAATTGCATTGAGCTTCTGTTGAAACTGTTGAAAAGCATCTTCAAATGATTTTTCTGAAAAATTGGGTTTTTAAGCGAGAGGATTTGACTCATATATTGATTTGAAAGCACGTTGAACTTACTAAGTTTTGTGATGTGGATTTTTTGTGTTTTCGTACTGCTCAGTCTTTATTTACCTTTATTACTTACTGAGTTGTCGTACTCACATTACTCCCCGCACCTTGTGTGCAGATCCAGGGGCTGCTGGACGTGCTAGCGAGCGTTGTTTCGGAGTTGGCAAGGTAGCTGCATGGAGATTGCAGCCTTGCTCTTCTCCCTCCTATCTCCCTATAATTATTAGTAGTTGATTTCGATCCAGACTATTTTAGTCTTGTCATATTTCGGTACAGTTGTAGTATTTGCTCATGACTTAGTGACATCGAGGTCGGGCTTTATTTTTCGCGTTTTGGTTCTTGACTTTATATTTTCTTATGAGGATTTCAGTATGAGAAAGGTTGTTTATTTAAATCTTAATGAAATGTTAAACTATTTTTGGAATGTGTCGACTGGCCTAGTTCCAGGATAGGCGCCATCACGATCGGGTTGGTTTCGGGTCGTGACATCTTCTCTCATTTTTTGACTGTTTTCCTGAATTTCTCCTTATTTTCCTTTTTTCGTTTGTTACTAGATGAGAATTGCCCGTGCAGAGCACGGGCCCAACATTGTAGATTTAAACCGACTATCATGCTCTAATGATGCTTTGGAAAATTCATTTGGGAATCCAGCTGGAATGGTCAAAGAAGCCGTAGGAAGTAACCAATATTTTATTACCCAACATGAAAGGACTAATCCCAATATCAGTAAAGGACTAATCCCAATATTCATTACCAAATATGAAACATTCGAGGTTCATTATTCTCAAATTTTGCAGAGTAGTAATTACAACCAAACACCATCCGATGTAGTATCCATTGCAAATACCGCGACAAAACTTGCATCTTAGGTATCATCATTCGGTCTTTCAACAAAATAAAAGAATCCTCATTCAATTATCAAGTTGCAAAGTCGTAACAGTTGGTGCACATTAGTGAATCAAATGTCAAATACTTAACCTACTGACTTTCATTACTATTCTTTTCCTCCAAACCATAGGAGCTTGACCTTTCATGTAGTCTGTAGGCTGAGTCACTTAGTTTCGATTGCATGAACACAAATCCTGAAACAATGTCTTATAAGCTTCTTTAAGAAAGCTGGTAAAAAATCTTGATTTGGTCGATCATGAGTTTTAGGATATCATGTGAATGTGCTCTTGGATCAACCTCAACACCACTTCTAAGCTGGCATTGATGTATTCCTCATTTCTCGAGACCCTATACATGGATTTATTATTAACCAAAAATAAAAAGTAATTTCATAAACAAGTAGGAGTGTAGAATATAAACCTTTGTATCTAGTATACATTACATCAATTAATTTTATGTGTCAAGGATATCGAAAGTAAATGCTTTTAGAAGATTATATGATCTTATTCTGCAAGACATAAAACTGGCACAAAGTACAGACATAAAACCCCATTAGAGGAACTGAACAATACAATGGATGTGTGCTAGTATTTCTAAGGAGGGAGGGAGGAAAGTTAAGTTGTACCTGCACATGTAGCTACAGAACATGGAAAAGAAATAAGACAAAATGGTACACTAATCCACAAACAGAAAAAATATAAGCTTTGAGTGTACAGAAAGATAATGATAAATCTAAAAGTAAAAGAAGGAAAGGCATTTTGAAGGCATTTACAAATATTACAAATGTTACGCGTGTCAAGAAAAAAAAGTAAATGTATATAACAGCAAATATG